GAGTCTGAGTTATGACCTTTGATACCACTAAGTCCAGGTGAAACATGAATTTCTTGTCCACTTTTCCTCTTGAGTGAGAGATGGAGAGATCATCTCTCCCCAATACCTCTAGGAGTGAATGAATAAATGGAATAAAGATATCATGATCCTCAAATTTCAAGTATGAAGTTTTCCTTTTTACAATTGATTTCTGATTATTTGTTAATAATGCTCATTTAAGATCTCAAAATGTATTTCATAACTGAAAATGAAGGCATAGAGATGAAGGCATAGAGAATTGTGCATTGCATTTTCCTCTGGTAGTGTAGTGGTTACGAATCGGTCTGCGAACCTTAAGGTCAGCAGTTTGAAACTACCAGCTGCTCTGCGGGAGAAAGATAAGGCTTTCTACTCCCATAAAGATTTACACCCTCGGAAACCCTGTACAGGGTCTCTATGGGTTGGAACCGACTCGACGGCACTTAACAACAACAACAACCTTGAGTGAGAAGGATAGTGCAAGAAATCATTGTCTTGACCTTTGTTTGTCATTCATATTCTGCTATGGAGAAAGTAATTTTCCTTATTGTGAACCTCAATTTTCTCTTCTGTATAATGGGGACAATAACTCATTGATTTCTTACCTCCGGGCTTTGGTAAAGATTTAGTGCAATGGTATAAGGTAGCCTCTCAACTTTGACAGTCTAGATCTGAGAATTCTTTGTTTGGGGGGCCTTTCTTGTTTTTCAACATCTCTGACCTCTATCTACTATATTCCAGTAGAAATCTCTCTCACTCAGTTATGGCAACCAAAAATGTCCCAGATATTGCCAAACACCACTACTTGAGAAGAATTTGTATAGTGAATGACAGTGCAAACCATCCAAGAATTCAATGTGCTTTGTGAGGATTACAGATCTAAACTCTTTGTAAGAACTTAATGTTAGGCCAAGCAAGGCACCTAGTAGCAACTTCCCCTTTGTGCTCAGTTGTACTAAGCATGGAAAATCCATTGTATTGAAGAAGAAAACTGTATTAGAATAAATGATACCATTTATACATTAAACTAAAAATTCATCTGGCTTGAAGGTCTGTAAATGTATAATTTTTGTGGCAACACATGAAATTCTACTTGAATAGAATGTAATAAATTATGGGGTTTAGAAGTACAGACAGATCTGGGTCAGCCGGGTATTTGAAGATACAAGCAAGATATGAGGAGGAACGTGAAGAACCCTTGCTTCTTCTTCTTGTAATGTGATTACAAGGGGTTTTAGTCAAGTGGAGCAGAGGCCTTGACTGAGCCAGCTTTCCTGCTAACATAGTGAGAAGACCCACTTAGAAGTGGGATAGTCATCTAGAGAACTTGTTGTTGGTGAAGGATTGTGATCGATCTAGGAAGGATTTGAGGAGAAGACAAAAAGTAAGACTATGTGATAAAACATGTAGGTGGTTTATACACGCAGCTGATTAATCTATATTCCTGCTGGTCTAGTCAAGTGTAAATAAATTAAGGATTCATGAATCAGAGGCATGAATCCTCTGGCATGCCTCTCCTTTGTTGCTACTTAGAAGACATGGTTGACCGGAGCAGATTTCTTCTGCTCTTTTAACTATAAAGCATTGTCTTCCCATTGAAAACTAGAGACTGGACAAATACAACTGATTCTCACATGATTGATCCAAGTTTTTGTCTTCAAATATGTAATAAACTAAAAACAAGTTGCCACTGAGTCACTTCTTAGTCATGATGACCCCATGTGTGTCAGAGTGGAACCGTACTCCATAACATTTTCAATGGTTGATTTTTCTTGGAAGTAGACCACCAGGCCTTTCTTCTTAAGCAGCTAAGTGTGTTAAATGTATGCTCCACACTAGTGTGGTGTAATGAAAAAAAATTGCGGCTAACGAATACAAGCAGACCTGGGATCAAATTCTGATGTAGTCAATTTGATTTCTGTGTATTCCATTTGGAGAGGTCCATGTGTATAATTGTCTCTTATGCTGTCTAAAGAAGGTATCTGAAACGAACAAATCATTGGTTTTGCAGAATTCTATCATGCGATCTCCAGCATCATTTCTATCACCAAGGCCGTATTTTCCAACTACTGATCCTTCCTCTTTCTTTCCAACCTTTGGATTCCCATCACCAGTAATGATCAATACATCTTGATTGCGTGTTTGATCAGTTTCAGATTGTAGAAGTTGGTACAATTCTTCAGTTTCATCATCACTGGTTCTAGTGGTTGGTGCGTAAATTTGAATAATAGTGGTATTTACTGGGCTTCCCTGTAGGCGCATGAATATTATCCTATCACAGACAGCATTGTACCTCATGACTGATCTGGATATGTTCTTTCTGATGATGAATGCAACACCATTCCTTTCCAATTTGTCATTCCCAGTATAGTAAACCATGTGGTTGTCAGATTCAAATTGGCCAATACCAGTCCATTTCAGCTCACTAATGCCTAAGATATTGATGTTTATGGGTTCCATTTCATTTTTGACAACTTCCAATTTTCCCAGATTCACACTTCATACATTCCATGTTCTGATTTTCAATGGATGTTTACAGCTGTTTCTCTTTATTTTGAGTTGTGCCCCATCAGCAAATGAAGGTCCTGAGGGCTTTACACCCACGGGCTTTACTCCATTTGTGTCATCACTGTCAACTCTACTGAGGAGGCAGCTCTTCCCCAGTCACATTTTGAATGTCTTCCAACCTGAGGGGCTCATTTTCTGGCACTATATCTGAAAGTGTTTCTCTGCTATTCATAAGGTTTTCAGTGACTAAACATTCAGAAGTAGTTATCTCTCCTTCTTCTTAGTCTGTCTTGGTCTGGAAGAAATCTGAAACCTGTCCACTGTGGGTGACCCTGCTGGTATTTAAAATACTTGTGGCATAGCTTTCAGAATCACAGCAACTCACAAGTCACCACAGTATGACAAACTGACAGATGAGTGGTGGAGTCCCCAGCTAGATTATATAAAGTGTTGATGTCTGATGTTAAATAAACTCAAAGTTTTATTTTTCTGATTCCAACTTTGCTATTGGGTTGAAGATTTCAGTTTACCCACTAGTGGATGCCTCATCTCTATAAGACCTTGGACCTATAGGTGGAAGCAAGTTTTCATGATGGCATTAATAGTAATACTAATTAAATGATAAAAAGAAATGGTAGTTTTGTTCTGCATTTAATTAAGTGGACGTAAGTTTAAAATGCATTGAAAATAAGTTATTGCTTTCTGCTGCTTAAAACAACAACTTTGAAAAGAGGTTAGTTCTCCTCATTAAGGAGTACTGGGAACACGACAATGAAGCACTCGTCTGTGAACCAAAAAGTTGACAATTTGAACCCACTCAGAAGCTCCATGGGAGAAAGACCTGCCATTTGTTTCCTTAAAAATTATATCCAAGAAAATCCCATGGGGCACTTTTACTCTGTCACACAGGGCCACTATGAGTGGCAATCAATTCAGTGGCATCTTATAACAACATCTCATTATACCATGAGATTGCTCTTGCTATGTTCTGATGCAAACTTGACAGAGTGTTGGGAGCATATTAGAAACATTCGAAATACCTGGATGCCAGACGATACAGAATCAGATTCTTCATTATTCTTTTATTGCTAGTGATGGTGGTGTGCCGTGGCATCGTGCTGACTCATAGAGACCCTGCCTAGGGTTTCTGAGGTTGTAAATCTTTATGGGAGTAGAACACCTCATCTTTCATTTGCAGAATGGCTGGTAGTTTTGAACTGCTAAACTTGAGGTTAGCAGAGTCGTAACTAATACACTCTTTAGGATCTGAGAAATTTGATATGAGCTGCTTAAAAGTGGGAATAAGAAAACTTAAATGGAGAAACCAGGAAATGAAACAAGCAAACAAACAAAGAAGGATATTCAAAAAAAGAGCACAAAGCTGTGGCAGATGAGCATATTTTATTTACAGATCTTATTGTCGTTGTTGTTAAGTTCCATCGAATTGGTTCTGACTCATAGCGACCTTGTATACTGTTTTCAAGGAGTGGCTGGTATGTTTGAACTACTGACCTTGTGGTTCAACTGACCTTGTGGTCCAGTGTTTATCCCACAACGTCACACTTCATAGACCTTATTAGAGTTTGTACTTTTAACTGGGTTCCTATGCAGTCATACCTCACTGGATTGTGTTTCACTTATTTGTGCTTCACAGATACTGCTGTTTTTACAAATGGAAGGTTCCGGGCAACACTGCATTGAGAAAATCTGTAGTCGCCATTTTCCTAACAGCATGTGTGCCCTTTATGCCTCTGTAATATTTTGGTAATTGTCACAATATTTCAAATTTTTTCATAATGCTATTGTATACTTAAGGAGCCCTGGTAGCACTATAGAATAAGCATTGGATTGCTAACTGCAATAGCTGCTCCTCCAGAGAAAGATGAGACTTTCTGCTCCCATAAAGATTTACAGCCTCGGAAATCCTATCTAGGGTCTACACGAATCAGAATAGATTCAACAGCAGTGGATTGTTGTTGTTGTTGTTAAGTGCCTTCGAGTCCGATATGATGCATAGCGACCCTGTAGAGGGTTTCCAAGGAGCTTGAACCATCAATCTTGCAGTTCAAACCAGCTTTGCAGTCTAGTGCATTAACCCACAGCGCCACACCAGGACTCTGTGTGTAATTAAGGTTTTCAGTGATTAAATATTCAGAAGTAGTTTGTCTCTCCTTCTTCCTAGTCTGTCTTGGTCTGAAAGTTCATCTGAAACCTGTCCACCATGGGTGACCCTGCTGGTATTTAAAATACCCGTGACATAGCTTCCAGAATCACAGCAATTCACAAGCCACCACAATGACAGTGTAATGTAATTGTAACTTTTATATACACTGAGAAACAAACTATAAAAATTATGTGAGTTGCAGTTTTGCAATACTCGCTTTACTGCAGTCGTTGAGAACATAACTAGCAACATTTCTGAGATACACCTGTTACTTAAACCATCCTGTGTGAAACGAAAACATACAGATGAATTATCCCACTTTTCCAGCAGGTGGCACTATAAGAATTTCCTATAAGAAAAGGAGAACCATCAGCAGGACCTAAAATAATGCCCTTACAGGAAAAGTGCAGTTATCAGTATTGCTACATATTCAGGAAAAGTCCAGTTATCAAATAGCTACATATTCTTGATGGCATTAGCAATGCAGGTCCAAAATTTAAAATTATTACCACATAATTCACCAACTCCTTCCCATTTTCTTATGTTTTTCATTCAGTGTATTCATTTATTCCTGTATTCCTACAAGAGGAAAAAAAAAAACAACACACCCCAAAACTGGAAGTGTAAAAATAAAGTTCTGTCATATATCTCTGATTTCTGTTTTGTTGTTGTTGTTACTTTTTATTACTAGTACTGTTGTTGTTAAATGCCATCTAGTCAGTTCTGGTTCATAGCTACCCTGTATAGGGTTTCAGAGGAGTGGCTGGTGAATTTGAGCCACCAGCCTTGTAGTTCAAACTGACCTTGAGGTAGAGTGTTTATCCCACAGTGCCACACGAGGACTCACTACTAGTATGAGTGGAACACCCTTCCTTGGTGATTGTGATGAACGTTAGTACCAGGTTATATTAGATGGTTGAAGTCTTGACGTGGCACTGGACAGCAAAGTAATTTTGAACCACAAGGTCGGTGGTTCAAGCTCACCAGCTGCTCCTGGGAAACCCTGTACAGGGTAGCTATGGGTCAGAACTGACTCGATGGCACTTAACAACAACATTATATGGTTGGAAAGGAAGTGACTTAGATGGTCAGCCTGTTCTCATATTCCTTTCCTTCCTTGCATGGTGAGGATTTCACATGCCCAAATATCTCTCCAATGCTAAGCAACCTCTCAGACTCAGGGGGAACTCTGTGCCGGAGGTAATGGGCATTTCTGACCTTTTCAAATAACTCTAAGTAGGTTGACTTTGTGGCCTCCTCATTCATGTTTCCTGCAGAGGCAGCTTCCATGGGATTTGGGGGGATTTCTTTGTCAGTGTCCTGGTCTGAATGTAGGTTGGCATCTGTTGGTCTAGTTTCATCCATATGTGTCATTCCACTCTCATCAGCAGGGCTGTAGTCTGGGTCTTGGCTGAGGCTGCTGGTAGAGACTTCTTGATCTTGACTTAGAAATGAGATGTCTTTGTTGGAGTTTGCATCTTTAAGTGGCTTTATAGAGTCTTTCTCTTGGATTTGTGGCTTTTCTTTAGTGAAGTGAGCACTTCTATAATTTTGAGATAGCCACTGCTCTTTCTTCTTCATGGGGTCTTTGAGGCCAGAGTGAGATAGAGGAGGCATCTGAGTCTTGGTTTTATTGACTTCTTGGGGCATTTTGGTTGCCAGTGCTCTGGAAAAAGAAGATAGAGCTTTGAAAGGCAGTGAAGGGGCTCATATTTAGATCTTTCGAGTTATTAGACTATGATCCATTTTAATGTGATAACAAATGAGGTAATAAAATGGATTTGAATAGGGGGGAAGGTAAGAATGGATGGCAAGAATGTTTGGGATGTCTCTTTGTTCACAGAAAGAAGGATAATTTTAAAAAGCAAATTGAAATGAGAACTTTAAGTTATACCCATGAGCTTAGTAAATATTTTCTTACCTAAATTTATTAGGCTGTGGGGCTCTCTGTTTCTGCCTTCCCTGTGGTGAGAATATGTGAACATCTTTTGGTAGCTCCTGGATTCCACTTGCAAAGTAAGAAGATAACTTTTTCTGGATGATATCTGCTTTGAGTTAATGAAGAGGAGAGAAAAAAGAATACTGGGAACCGGCCTTTAAGACTCTTAATGAATGAAAACATGGCATTCACATTACACAGTAGGCTGAGTCTGGTATGATGGATGAAAACAGGAAAACATAAAGCAGTTCCGCAATGTATACCTAGAACATGTTAAAGATGATGTAGTCAACAATCAGATCTGAGACTGGGCAATAGGTAGGCTCATGGAGGTTTTGTTTGAATATTTTATTTGGAAAGTGTGGTATTTTCAAAATCAAGTAACTGGGTGTGAGTGGTCTCCAGAGATGGTGTCCTATTATCTCACTCTCCACAATTATGTGACCTAATAGGAGTCCTGGTGTGATGCTGTGGGTTAATGCTCCAAGCTGCAAAGCCATTTGAACTACAAGGTTGGTGGTTCAAGCTCACCAGCTGCTCCTTGGAAACCCTATACAGGGTCACTATGGGTTGGGACCAATTCTATGGCACACAACAACAACAACCTCACTGTGGCAAGGAGGTTATGATAGCATAGTGGTTATGATTCAGACTGCTAACTTCAAAGTCAACATTTCGAAACTACCAACTGTTCTATGGGAGAGAGATGAGGCTTTCTATAAAGATTTAAACCCTATACAGTGTCGCTATGAGCTGGAATTGACTCCATGGCACATAACCACCATCATCTCTCTGTGACATGAGTTTGTAACTGTTGGCAATAATGAAGTGGATTTCTCAGTCTTTCATTTGATCTTTTAGTATGTTGTAGTCAGGGGTGCGATATCCAGGCAGTCTTCTTTAAGATGTCTTATGACTTGGTTATTGGAGATTAAAAGTCTTATACTAGTTTTCTCTACTGAGTACCAGAAGAGGGAATATGACCAGACAATGGAACTAGAATTCACATTAAACTCCTGTTGTCTTTTTATCTGATCTCTCCTTTCAGAGTTAAGCAGGGTCCAGAGATAGGCTTTTATGGGATCCTCTTCCTTTGGTGTCTCCATGTAAGAAATTCTCCTGTTTCCTAAAACCCTGAGGGAGATAAGCTTCTTCTCTTAGCCAGACCACTATTCTGCATTTTAGACCTGTAGAGACAAAGGTTCAGGAATAAGCTTGTCTTTTCTCTGAAACTTGTTGATCCTTCTCCAGTGCTTTGTCTGCAAATCAATAAATATGTTTGAGTGCCTACTTTTGTCATGTAATATGCTCTTTCTCTTTTTTAATTGTGGTAAAAATATACACAACAGAACATTCGCGTCAACCATTTCTTCATGAGTGTTTCAAGGACATTGATTATATTTTCAGGTTGCCCAACCATTCTTGATATCCCTTTCCAAATCTTTTCAATTAACATAAATTCAATGCCCTCTAAGCAAAACCTCCCTCTCCCCACTCCCATCCTTGGTCACTACTAATAATCTTTGGTTTTTCTGTATTTTCTTCATTCATATTAGTGAGACGCAATATATTTTTTACTACACAGTCCTGTTGCAGCTCTTTAAATAAGCATTTGGCTCCTAATCTGAAGGTCATTGGTTCAACCCACCAATCTTTCCTTGGAAACCCTGTATAGGGTTGTTTTGAGTGGGAACTGACAATTGCTCTTAACAACAACAACATGTTTTTCTTTATACTTGACTTATAATTAGTCACCAAGCTCTGGCTCTGACAATTCTACTTCCTAAATATCTGAACATGATGATATCCTTGTCTCCTCTGCCAAGGCTAATGTCCTACTTCAGGCCTTCAAACTCTAGTCTGAATGCAGCTAAACTACATTATACTTTAAACATTGCTGTTAAGAGTGATCCTTTTAACATTGGAACATGTAATCTCCTCACTTTCAAACCAAACCATAAAGTCTTCTGCAAGACTTATGAGGCTCTTCATGACCAGAGACCTTGGCTGGTCAGCATTGCCTCTGATGCCACTTCTCCACCTTGTTGTCCTTGCCCCTCATACATACTCTCTACAGTGCTGAATGATTTGTAGCATGCCATGCTCATTCATGTGCCTCTTTGTTCCTTCTGCCAGGAGTGGCCTCTATCCTATGCCCTACTAACAGAAGACCCCTAGCAAAATGGATTGGCAACGTGGCAGCATCAATGGGCTCAAGCGTGGCAACAATAGTGAGGTTGTCCCAGGACTGGGCAGTGTTTCGTTCTGTTGTGCATAGGGTCTCTATGAGTCTGTACTGACTGGATGGCACCTAACAACAACAACTAACTGACTCCCCTACCATTCCTCCCCATACCCACCATGAGATTCACCTCACACATTGCCTCTTCTAAGGAGATTTTATTGAAGCTTGTTCCTATTGTTGTGTGCTGTGGGATTGATTCCAACTCATAGCGAACCTATAGAGCTGAGTAGAAACACCGCATAGTGTTTCCTAGTTTGTATTCTTTATAGGAGCATTGCTAGGGTTTCTCTCCCATGGAGCAGAGTAGCTGGTGGGTTAGAACTCCCAACATTTTGGATAGAAGCTGAGTGCTTAATTACTGTGCCACCAGGGCTCCTTGAACTTTCCTAGGCTACTGTGCTATTTTGAAAACAATTCCAATTAAGCATTTAACTTTTTTTTTTTTTTTACCATATTGTTTTTAAGCTTAGCTATCTTTCAGTGTAAATGTGACTATCTCTAGGACACAGACCTATATTTTCATATTTGTTTTCCAGTACCTACCTTAGTCACAGGAATAATGTTTTGTAAATTATGTCCCAGAATAATCTTCCTGGGTATGATCTCAGCTAAAAATATGGGTTCTTAGTCCTAATTCTAAACCTACTGATCCAAATTTCTATAATGAGGCCTGTTGTTGCTGTTAAGTGCTGTAGAGTCAGTTCTGACTCATAGCGAACCTGTATAGGGTTTCCAAGGAACATTTGGTGTGTTTGAACTGCTGACCTTGTGGTTCACAGTCCAGTGCTGATCCTATAGCACCACAAAACTACATGTGTTAAGTCCTAGTCTTTATCAGCACAGTGCTAGGAAATATTTTTCCATGAGTCAGATATATAGTTGTTTTTAAGTACCGTGGAGTTGGTTTTAACTCATAGTGACCCTGCACAGGGTTTCCAAGGCTGTAAATCTTAACGGGAGCAGAATGCCTCATCTTTCTCCCACAGAACTGCTGGTAGTTTCGAACTGCTGACCTTGAGGTTGGCAGCCCGACTCGTAACCACTACGCTACCAGAGCTCCATATATATCATAAAATTAGGAAAGGTATGTGACAGGATTGTGCTCTTTCACCATAGTTATTCAAACTGTATGCTGAGCAAATAATAATCTAAGACTGGGTTATATGAAGAGAAACATGGCGTCAGGATTGGAGGAAGACTCATTAACAACCTGCGCTATGCAGATGATACAACCTTGCTTGTTGAAAGTCAAGAAGACTTGAAACATTTACTTATGAAGATCAAAGAGCACAGCCTTCAGTAAAGAAAACAAAAATCTGAGACCAATAAATTACATTCTTATCAACAGAGAAAAGATTGAAGTTGTCAAGGATTCCATTCTTCTTGGATAAACTATCAACACTCATGGAAACAACAGTCAAGAAATCAAATGATGTATTGCATTAGGCAAATCTGCTGCACAAGACCTTTTTAAAGTGTTGAAGAGCAAAGATGTCAGCTTGAGGACTAAGGT